TATTTTGAACAAGATATGGACATTTTGAATATAATGTCATGCCTTTTGGACTTACAAATATACCAACATCATTCCAACATCTAATGAATGATATCTTTTGGGATTTTTTAGATGATTTTGTTGTCTGTTATCTAAACGACATCTTAATCTATTCTAAGAACATAGAAGAATATGAACTTCATGTTTGTTGTGTATTACAAAAACCAAGAGATGTAAGACTCTATGCTAAGATAAAAAAGTATATATTTCACACTACTCAAATCAACTTCTTCGGAGATATCATTTCAAATGATGGACTTATAATGGATCTTAAGAAAGTTGATGCTATTACGGATTGGAAGATCTCAAAAACGGTAAGAGATGTCTAATACTTTTTGAGATTTGTCAACTACTATCAAATCTTCATCAAAGACTTCTCTCAAGTTGTAGCTCCACTTATACGTTTGACTTGTAAAAAAAAACTTCAATAGAATGAAGAAGCGGAAGTAGCATTTTAAGCTTTGAAGACAACCTTTGTTTCTACACTAATCTTGTATCGTGTTGATTTTTTTAAGCCATTTTTTATGGAAATAGATGCATTAGACTTTGTTTTGGGTGTTGTATTGTGACAAATGAGAAGAGATGATATACTTCACCTAGTAACTTTTCATTCCAGAAAATCTTCAACAACCGAGATCAACTATGAGATTTATGACAAAGAACTTCTTGCAATCATGGATTCGTTTCAAGAATAGCACCATTATCTAGAAGGTGTTCTTAGTCCAGTCATCATGTATACGGATGACAAGAACCTTGAATATTTTATATCAACACGTATTTTGAATCATCGCCAATCTTGTTGGAGTATGTCTTTGTCAAGATTTGAATTCAAGATCACTTATCAACCAAGAAAACAACAAAGTTTATCAGATGCACTTTCTAGACAATCTTACCTTGTACCAAAGAAAAGAAATGTTACTTTTGATTAGCAACGGATAATTCTCTTGAAGCCAAAGCATCTTCATCTTCGAGCAATAAAATCAACATTAATTATTGATTCAACTTTCATTAAGCAAGTTCAGTCAAGTATGTCTTTTGATCCTCTTATTTGTGATATTAAGAGAAATCTTTCAAAGTCTCATGTTACTTCTAAGTTTAAATTCAAGAATAATCTATTATATTTTGAGAGATGCCTATATGTTCCAGAAAGTGAAGCTCGATTACATGTTCTTCAAGCTCGTCATAACTTTCCAACAGTAGGACATTTTAAGTACAATAAAACTTTGGAACTAATCTCTAGTGATTTTTCGTGGCCTCAAATGTGGAAGGCAGTCCAAAATTTTGTACAATCTTGTGATATTTGATCAAGATCAAAAACTCTTCGTCATTGTCCTTACAGACTTCTTTAGCCATTATCCATTCTAGAACAACCATGGTCTTCTGTTTCTAGGGATTTCATTATGGATCTTCCAATCTCAGTTTCTTATGATTCTATATTCGTGATAGTAGATCATTTTACCAAGATGGCACATCTGGTACTATATACAAAATCTATCTTAGGTGAAGAAACATCTAAGCTTTTTCTTGACAATATCTATCGCTATCATCGATTACCCAAGGATATTATATCAGAGAAGGGAACTTTATTTGTATCAAGATTTTGGCGGACTCTTTTCAAGATTCTAAAAGTGGATATAAAACGATCTTTGGTATTCCATCTTCAAATGGAGCATATTAATTAAGTTTTATATTTAAGATATACCATCAATTACCAACAAGATGATTGGACAACTCTTTTGCCATTGGCAGAATTTGCTTATAATAATACGGTACATTCTTCTACAAAACAAATACATTTTTTTGCCAATTATGGTTATCATCCACGATTTGATACTTTTGACTTTTTAAAAGTTGATAATCCTATAGCAAAAGATTTGGCAAATCATTTGTCAGAGTTACATGCAACAATGAAGGCGTAATTAAAAGAAGCTCAAGAACAAGAAAAGATCAATGCGGATGTCTATCGAAAGGAACAACTATCATTTCACATAGGTGACAAGGTATGATTACTTTGTCGTAATATCAAGGCCACTCGTCCTTATGATAAGTTGGACTATCAAAGGCTTGGACCATTTTTTATTTTTGTACAAATCAATCTAGTTGCATATCATTTACACCTACCAGAATCAATAAAAATCTATCCAGTATTCCATGTGTCTTTTCTTGAACCATATAAGATAATGGATGTACCAAAAAGAAGACAAGCTCTACCTCCTTTTATAGAAGTAGACAATAATGAAGAATTCAAAGTGGAAGAAATTGTAGATTCAAGGCAGCGCCAAAATAAATTAGAATATCTTGTCCATCGATGTAGATATGATATGAGTGAACACATATAGGAACCAGTAAAAAATCTTGCAAATGTAGTAAAGACGGTGGAAGCTTTTCATCAATGATATCCATCAAAATCAAGATGAAAACCTTCTTTATAAAAGAAATAAAATCTAAACAAGATAGCATTCTACTTTTAATCCTTGTTTGTAGCTTCTTTGTAGTTGTGACGCTGAGGATATGGAAAACCAACAACCAGTGGATTTGACTCAAGAGCCTTTGTTTGCTAACTTGCCAAACGAGACATTATGATTGTCTCAATCTTCAAGACAATGCAATCGAGATGAAGATCTTCAAGAATGACATGTTCTTCCTCAAATAGATGGCAAGATATAAGGCGTTTGGTATCACAACTTTGGAATGGACTCTCGATGTTTGATGATTTTACTAAAGGTAGGAACAACTCTTGACGGTGTTCCAAATGTTTTATTTGAAAGAAGTTATGAAGGTCTCAACAATAATTAAATTACTAGGTGGTCTTCTCGCCCTAATATGGGACACTATCAATGGTTGAGAGGCCCTATCAATCATCTTCGAAGAGAACAAAGATCAAAGTATGTAGCAAATATAATTCGTCACATCTTAGACTTCTTCGACATGTGATCATCGCTCCTTGTAGAACTTGTCCCTAGAAGGGGAGATAATGTCATGGGCATATATTTACTGTAATTGTTACTTATGTAATATGAATAGGTAGAAGTATGTAAAAGTAGATTAATTTCATAATATCTTCTAAAGAAGCTTCCTAAAAGCTTCATAGATACTACTATGACTTTACATGTGATTATGCTTGATTGGTAGGTTAGAAACTTGGTCAACAAAGTTAACCACATGCTACACATGTTGGTAGCTTGCGGAACAAGCTAACTATGTGGCACCTACATAAAAAACTTGCCTTTCAAAGATACGTGTTGTGCAAAGTCAATACGTTTTTGAAGGTTCTATAGAATGTCGCCACATAGCTCTTAGGTAGATAGTATATATAGAGACAAGAGTGAAGCCTTCTTTACTCCTATCAACTCCTTCTTGCTTCTAGTCTAGTTTTAAGGGTTTTTAGTTTTCTTGTCTTTTGACAATAACCATTTCAGTATCTTTCTTAATATACATATTCAGTTATTTTTATTTTTTTCATCTTTCTTTGAGAAAAGTCTCACTTGTTTATTTATTTTTATCAAGTTCTTGTCCTTGACAAGTGAACAATATCATAATTTCTTTGGTAAACCTTCTTCCTATTAAAAATTTTATGTTGCAAAAATTCATTAAGAATCTTATTATGTTTGACTAATTATAAATCTTATCTTATTAAAAAAAACTCATGTTGTGAAATTTTATTGAAAGCTTATTAAGAAATGAAACATTGATTCCAATATATAAATCATAGCCTAAAAGTCATCAGTGGTAATTATGTGGGCAACAACATACAAAGTCTACTTTCTCATTCCATCAAAAATTCAGATGATCTAAATTTATAAATAAATGTTAATCAATATTTAAAAATAATACTGATGCAGCTTACAAATTTAAATTATTTGAATCAAGGACTCAACTTGCACAAGTATAAAAACAAATAAACAAAACAACAATAAACTTAAAGAGGAGATCCACAAATCCCTACACATACAACCTTTGATACCAACCCAAAAGTATAGTATTCAACAACATAGGAAAGCCCCTCTAGAAAACAACGCTCGCCCAAAAGTATAGTATTCAACAACATAGGAAAGCCCCTCTAGAAAACAACGCTCGCCCACGTCAGCAACTCTTACGCAAAGACGAACGTTCTAGAAGGGGGGGAAAAAAAACACAAAAACACACAAAAAAAAAGAAAAAAAAAAAAAAAAAAAAAACTAAACGTGACAAAGCAGTCAAACAGTCAATTGGACATACTGGGAACTGGCGCATGCTTGAACTGATTCTCGCTCCACCTTGGAAATGGCGACAAAATTCAAACCCTCCAGCACCAGAAGTTGCAGCTCCGAGGGGAATGTGACCCAACGAGAAGCGCAGTCGCTCATCTTCTGCGTGTGCTTTCTTCACGGGATCGAGTGTGTGTGTATGTGTGTGTGTGACTTGCAGGGGGCCAAGTGAGGCAAAATTGCCACATAGAGAGTTATGAACACAAATAGAAAACATGGGCAAAAGTAAGTGATCAAAGGGTGATCAAAGGGTGAGTGAGAAGGGGGCGATGACAGTGAAGTGATCAGAAGGGCGGTGGCAGTGGTGCATGGAAGCAAAGCAAAGCAAGCATGGAAGTGTGTGAGCAGCCCAGGCTTTCTCAACTGTCTACTGCCCAGCTCTGCATTACTACGACTACTACTTCTACTGCAGCAGCAGCAGCGGCGATCCATCCCCCCCTCCCGCAGTGGGACCCTGTGCAGCATCAGCAGCAGCAAGGGACGTCAGTTATGAGGAAAAGATATTTTTCACTGCGGGGATGAAGGGGCTAGACACTGCAGATTGGATCATGCGGTTGGTCCCGCATGGCTCCGTCCTCTGACTACATGTGAATGCACTTTCAACGCTTCCGACCGCGTGGCTCCACCGGCTCGTTCCGAGCGTGAGGCTCGGAGATCCTTTTTCTGCAAGTTCTCTTGCAAAACCCAACTTGCCGTGGCACAATCCCCCCCCCCCCCCCCCCCCCCGAGTCGCCGATGGATGGAGTGGTTAGATTTCCATGCGAGGATCGAGAGCGTGGGTGTGTAAGTGCGGTTGTTTTTCGTTGAGGAGATCAGTCAAGGACTTTAAAAAGCTGTTGACAGGTTTGTTGAAAGACGTTGGAGTCCACCTCGGGGCGCAGTTTTGTCTTCAGTTTCGATATGTGTAGCGATTGCAGAGCAAAGGGATTCTGAAATTTCATTCGAGAAATGAGAGGGACTTTTTGTTGTTGCTGTTGAGAGTTGATCTCACGGATAGGTGAACAGGAGGTTCTCATAGCTTAAAGCTTTTATATTTACTTCCACGAGCGTATAAGTGTGACGAATAGGTGAAATTCGGCGACGCGAATAAAACATAAATATGAGAGTCTGCAGCGTAACCGTGAGCTTAATTCTTTAGCTTCAATGCCCTCGGTAGCCTGTTGTTTCGCTACGATTGTTTCGGTGGAACTCTTGAGCTAAGAAACTCGGATTGAAGGAAACCCGCTCACCTGAAATTAGTGGTCTTCCAGCGAGGATCACTTGTTACTACAAAACCTCGACTATTGTAGGGGTGGTGCATCCATGGGGAAAGGTCAGAAATTCAGACTCCTTGAATTTAAGTTTCTCTTCTTTATCAGAGTATGACGTGCTGGAATCGGAGAAACTTAATTGTGTGCAATTGGTGAGGTCAAGCTTTGAATTAATGAAGAAAATAACCTTTCTTTTCCTTCTGTTCCTTGTGTTTGTCTGGTCGGGCATCGGAAAATGAGGTCGGCGGACTTCTTCCTTTGAATAAACCTGGGTACTAGACTACATTTTCAGCTATTTCCCGAGATGGCGCTGTTTAGTTCTTACAAGTTTAGAATACAATTTACAGCATATGAACTTGGATATGCTCACAAGGAGGATCTGAATACTTTCGCCATTGCATTTGATGAGGAATTCGGGGTGGATTCCCGAAGGTCACGAACACTTTGTTTATTCCCAGATTTCTGTGTCGTACTAGAACGTGTATGCCTGCGGCATTCGGCGTCGGGATGGATAGCAGAGGTTCTTTTCATCAATTGCTGCAGTTGATTCCCGTTGAATAATTTTCTTCGTATTGAGTTTTTGTGTCCTTCATGAATTGTTCAGGGGCTTCAGGGAAGATCATTCCTGAAAAAGTTAGGATTGGCATCAATGGCTTCGGCAGGTTTGGACGTCTCGTGGCCAGAGTTGCACTGGAGAGAAATGATATCGAGTTGGTGGCTGTGAACGACCCTTTCATCAGCACAGACTATATGGTGAGTCCATGCACCCTACACACAACGTCGCGTTACAGACATGCATTTCTGTTCAGTGTGACCTTGAGCCGAACACAATCTCTGACAGAATTGGCATACGTGAAATGGTAGGCACACATGTTTAAGTACGACACAGTGCACGGACGAATGACGGAGGCGGACATATACGCCGAAGACGAGCAAACCTTCTCTTTCAGTGGCAAGAAGGTCGCCATCCTGGGCTTCAAGGAGCTCTCAGAGATTCCATGGGGTGAACATGGCGTTGATTTTGTGGTGGAGTGCACAGGCAATTATTCCATGAAAGACCAAGCAGCCGAGCATCTTAAGGGTGGTGCAAAGAAGGTGATCATCACAGGGTTCAGCAAGGACGCACCCATGTTCGTGGTGGGCGTCAACGAGTGCGATTACCGGTCCGAGTACAACGTCGTGTCCATGGCCAGTTCCACAACGAACTGCTTGACGCCGCTCGTCAAGGTTCTTAATGACAAATTTGGAGTCGTGGAAGGAGTGATGACAACCGTGCACTCTTTAACCGCAACAGAGAAGTTACTTGATCGTCCGTCGAGGAAGGATTTGAGAGACGGGTGCGCCAACATCATAGCCAGCACTACGAGTGCGACGAAGGCGATCGGTCGGTTGATCCCACGCATGAATGGTAAAATTAAGGGCATGGCCTTTAGAGTTCCAACTGCCGATGCGTCTCTCATCGATGTCGCATTCAAGCTCGACCAGTGTGTTTCTTACGAGCAAGTTTGTGAAGCGATAAAGTAAGGACCATCCTCCCTTGATCGACAAATCCTCCATTCTCTGTAGAATTCGATCTCAGGACGATTGTTCGTAATTGTCTTCTCATGTATGGATCCCTGTCATTGCAGAGAAGAGGCAGAGGGCTCATTAAAGGGAATCTTGGGCTACACGGAGGAGGACGCTGCGTCGACCGACTTCATTGGGGACAGCAGGTACGACTAAATCTTAGTGTTGTGAGCACCTCCAATTTTTGAAATATAATCTTGCTGATCAATACTCTTACGCATTTGAGTGATTTCTGAGGGTTCTTACGATGTCTCAGTGATTCTGGTCATCAGATCGTGCATATTGGATGCAAAAGCTGGTCTTTCTTTGGGTAACGGCTACTTCAAGCTCATGGCATGGTTTGACAACGAGTGGGGCTATAGGTAGACCACAAAAAACATAAACCTTGCCGTAAAATTTCGAAATTTTGCTACTTCGTGTGATTTTAGCACAGTTATCAAACTTTACATTCGTACCAAATCTCATAGAATGGATTCTGGTTGTGCAGTCATAGGGTGGTGGAGTTTATAATCCACATGGCATTAATGCAGCGAACACCATCACATTTCCAAACCCACCATGCTAGAGAGAGTCAATGAAGCCCAATGCGAGCATGATTCTGTAATTAAAGCACAACGATGGGTGGTGAAGGGCAGCCCAAACACTGGTGATGACGAAAAGCAGATGCAGGCAACAGCCCAGCTTGTAAACATGTGCCGCAGAGATAGGATTAGAAGAGGAGGCGTCCAACTCCTCCCCGTTGGAGTGATCACACACGCATCGCTGCAGATTTCTTTTTTTCTTTCTTTCTTTTTCTTACTCTTCTGTTATAAGAAACTTCAAAATGTGCTCTTGTAAAATTCAGGCTTCCTAAAGAAGCAACAGAGACATTTTTTTTAATATTTGTCATTGTTGAAAAACTATGGCTTAAGCCTCCAATTGTGTCGTCACGAGAAGCCAATGCAATAATACCCACATTCATTTTTTCCCCGCACCCATTCTTAAATCGATGACATTTCTCACAGCTTCTGCAGATTTCGCCGGCACCTCACAAAAACTCACTTTTATTCAGTCAATACTTGCAAGTTGTCCAGGACTTCCATATTGATCTCAGAACTCCCCACAGGCCCACAATCTAGAGGAAGCTGCAACGTGTGTTTCCCGAATAGCTTTTTGCATCTGCAACCAGTTGAGATTCCTGCATCAAATCCGTTGCCGTGTCCACAAAATACTTTCGTGAGAAGCACTCTGTGATATCCACAGCGTTACCGACATGCGCAAGAAAGCTTGAAGCGTGAAGGCTTGAAACTGGGAGGGTAGTTCCGACAGACTTGGCTTTCCATGACCCCCCCACCCCCTTTCCTACAACCTCTGAGTGAGGCATTTCCACAACTAGGTTGAGTTTGTCAAACTAGGGTGAGAGCTCTATTGGGGTCTACCATGACTTTAAAACCCTACCCCATGGAAAGGAAAGGTTTGGTATTGAATAGAGATTCTCAGCAATTCTGCTGTATCGTATGTTCTGTGAATGGATATTTTAGAAGGGATTTTTTTTATCTACTCTACTCAACATTCGGGGGTGATTTAGGTTGTTTTGTTATTTGACCCCACAAAGGTTGTGGGTAATGGACAGAGGGCAACCTCTCCCTCAATTTTTGTTCAAAATTGAGGGTGAGAATGAAAACCCTTTGTCCACCCACCCACCCACCAACTCCCCTCTTCTCTTCTCTTCTCTTCTCTCCTTGAATTGTCTTTCCTTTCTCCTTTTTCACTTTGCATCCTCATTTTTTATTTATTTTTATTTATTTTTCTTTATTTTTCTTTTTGCCTTGCCTTGTCCCCCCTTCTCCCCCTCCTATTTGTCTGTTTCCTGTGGTTAACAGCCAAATATATTGCAAATTAGAAACAGTTACATCTTCTTTGGTAATTTTGACATTTTTTTGAGAAATGTTTATTGATATATTTTTTTTGTGTTTCTGGAATTTTAAGCACCACTCATGAAGATTCATGTATTCGTCTTAATTTCAATGTGATTTTTCACCTCTAATTAAATGTCATGAAATTAACAAATCATTATAAACAATATGTATCTATATATATATATATATATATATATATAAGTAAATGAAGGTGCTGTGAAAATGTTATTGCAATGTTAGATAAAATAATAGTAAAGAATAATATTTACATCATCATTATTTTAATTTAAAGATACATAAAATTTTCATTTTATATATGTAAAAATATTTTATTAAAATTACGTGCTAAAAAATCTTCTTTTAATAAAGAAAGTAGTGTTTTAATTACGTAACAAATGTGTTTTTATATTCAATCTTGAAGTGATTTTAAGAGACATCAATTTAAATAACACAATTGACTAATTAATTGAGTTTTGTAATTCCTTAAAAACTATTCAAATATGCATATATTAAAATTGCAAGTTGTTTATAATATAAAAATACATATAGAATGCTTATTTTAATAATGTTTTTTATTAATATCATTGTATTCAGCATATTACAATAAAATAAGAATAATTTTATTTAAAAATGCATATATACATATATTAATATCCAGTTTTTGACACATACTTCTTTTTATGGTGTATTCAACCATTCAAAATTTAATTTTCTAACGTATGTTATTTAGAATATATTAATATTCATATATTCTGATTCTCAACTGAATAACCCATTGAAACTATGGGTTCGTAATAGGTTTAAGTTCAGACACACTTTCCTTAAAAAAATTAAAAAAATCCACGTAACAAGATTATATTGTCTATTCTAGCTTGAATTCAAATACCTCATTTTTCTAATAACAATCATTTTAAAAATAAAAAATGTAACTAGCAGTTATAATTTAAATAGTTTTACAAAAAATGAAGTAATTATAAAGATATTTAAAACTTTAAATATTTATAATTGTAAATAAAATCGTATACATAATTGGCAATCTTTGAATACATACATGTACAAATATGTGTAAATGTAAGCACAGTTATAGGTGGGGGATGCTCACGTGCATCCAAACCCGTGCAAAACCCTAAACCCCGGCGACTCGTCAGCATTCGTCATCGTCGCCGTGGCTGACTCTGTGTCCGTGTCTGAGTCTGTGCCGTGCCGTGCTACGAGGAGGGGGGAGCAGCCATTTTGTGTTGCAACTACACATGCATTTCTGCATTTGGTGCCACTTTGGGAAGGAGGGAGGGACTCACCAGCCTCAGGTGCGTACTGCATGCCGGACTCTTTCTCATCTCTGTTCATGGTTTAGGGTTAAGCAAGCGACAGGGTACAATCGTCAGGAATTGCGGCTTTCACTTAATTCTTAGGCGTTTGTCTGTCTCGAGCAAATTACGTTGCTCCTCCAAAACCGCGTGTGAGATTCTGTGCGTCTGGTTGCATGTTCACAATCAGGTGGTGAAGTTTTTTTCTCAGTTCCACCGCGCGAAGTGCGATAGTGCTGTATCGTTGTACTTTGTAGGTGATCGCGAGCAATCTTTTGGAGTGTTGTGTTGGTGGAGGTCAGTTGTGTACTGCTTACCCGAGCGCGTCCTTCCTCTCACGTTTTTTTCTTAGCAATTGATTTAGACTCGGGTCCGCGGAGTCTATTTTTCTTCAACTACAGAAAGCTGAAAGTTCTGCTAATTTAGATCTCGCTTAGAGGGATTCCTAGAGGCTAGTCGCAATTGAAACTAAAGAATGCAGGAGAATTGTGAATAGTGGTGGTGTTGCTATCGGGAGTTACTTTCTCATTCTCCGAATTTTGTGCATGAATGAGGCAGACGCAGAGATTTCTCACGATCGCCGCGCATTATGCACGAGTTTGCTGTCGATGGTCGATTTTTCATGATTGTAAAGCATCTAATTGTCGAGGCGCACCGTGAATCGTGCCGAATGTTCTAGTTGTGTACATTTGTTCTTACGACTTTTTGGTTGGAGGAAACCCGTTTTAGTTATCGTGTTTTACAGTAGGTCATGCAATTAGTCTCCCGATGTGTCTGTTTCAAAATATTATTTGCCAAGATGTTCGGTGTTCCATTTATTTTTATTTTTATTTTTAAAAAATAGCAAATCGTTTGGTTTTTTCTTGCCGACGATTATTTTTTGTCGTTTTTGTGCATTTGCGTGCGTTGACGGTGGTGTTCCTGCTATCCAGACATGCGAAGCGCCGGGTCGTGTTTGAGACCTGAATGAGTCATGGAAGGCTCGGTGCAACGACTAGTGATTCAGCTGTACAAAAGCGCAGTTGCCGCTGGCTTTCGAACTCCCTGCTTCACTTCTCCTTCTTTCTCGGCCCCTTCTTCGCGGGCCTTTATGCCCGTCCATTGCTTCCTTTTACGAATTCCATTTTCACACATACGAAGCCCTAGTAAATTGGTGGTCGCTCCGATCCGCCCCACACGCCCGCATTTGCTTTCTAGTTCTCGTTTTACTCCTTGCAAGGATTATTCAAGGCGGTTGGAAAGGAATTATTATGTTGGGTCCAGGATACTCCCTGCGAACGGGAGACAGTCCTCTTTTTGGAGACGTAATAGTGATGTCAAGGATGATGTTACAGCTGCAGGTATTTATTGCAATGCAGCAATGAGAATGGGTGTTTGAATTGGTTTGTATTTCTTTGAAGGACTATAGCCAAGTACAATAAATGCCCTAGTAAGAATTGGCTCAAGTTTTCCATAGATCTTCTTGTAGGAAAACTTTCGGTTTCTGCAGACCAAAATTTGATATGCTTAATTATTTCAATTGTCGGGGTTAGGTGCCCGCAAGTCACACGAGTTTCCATCAGCTCCTGAGTCTAAGAATGGGACAGCTGAGGTCTCATATAAGAAGGCCGGAGAGCGGAGGACGATAACTGTTTCGAGGCCTCTGAAGTGGGCCAATACGCTAGCTGCACTCTCCTCTACTCAGCTTCGAGAAGCTATTAGGTAATTATCCACCACTGCAATGCAACTCTTCGACGGACTAGCATGTGGATCTTCCGTATGGTGTTTGATGGAAGACAACTTGAATTCATTTTCATGAAAAATCCAAAACAACTAAGGTTTCTCCCGTTCTCACAATGTGATCCCGCAGGTTGGCATCGCTTGATGAGAAAGTCTATGACGCTGTCATGCTGGTCAAGGTAAAGTGACATCTGCAATAAACTTATTAAGTGTTAGTAGGGTGTTAGTTGTTGCTCAAAGTCTTAAGTTCTGTCCAACTTCTGGTTACGCGAATCGTTTTTCTTTCAAGTCATGTACCCGCTTGTTGATTCTTAGTGCTGGTTTGTTGTTGGTGGACAGGTACTGGGTCTTAATGACTGGAGTCGGAAGAGAAAAGAACTTAATTTCATAGGTGAGCACTTCTATTCCCGCATGTAGACGTATTAGAGTAGAGACAGACTGATTTGATCTTTGTTTAGTGATATGAATGTGGTTATCGGTATTCAATCTCGTCTTAACCATATCCATGTAAACGCTTAGTTCGATTATCTGTGAAGGTATATCTTTTTCTTGAGTAACCTAATTTCTGAATTCTGGCAGCCACTTATGATTGTGTGGCTGCTCAGGGGGGCTACTTCGAGACGCTGATCCTGAATTAATGGAACAGGTCCTACGAGCGTGCGAGGATGGCGACCGTTTAGGCTCGACGAGTCGCAGACTTTCCCTTCCCTATTTCCGTCCCCATTACTTTAATTCTAGCAGTACAGGCGGCAACCTTTCTCGTCTCTGGAATACTTCTGCATCAAAGAATTTCGACTCAAGTTCCAAGAGCAATCTGTACACGGCGATGGTTGGAACGGTTTCAGCAATGCAACGGAAGCCATCGTTAAGCGTGCAACATACAAGGGAGCAAGTTCAATTACCAAACACGGTCAACACAGCACCTCAGTTCAGGTTTCCACAATCAATACAACACTTCAAGTCATCGCCTTCTAATTTTGTACCCCCTGTTTCGAGGACTGTGAAGGTTGCTCTCCAAGCCGTATCGAAGACAAAGTCTCATTTGACTAATGGGTACGCCCTTCCTCAGCTTGCCCGACGCTTCGGTAAATTACGTGCGCAAAATCAGAATTCACACTTGTTGACATCCAGAAAGACGCCGGACGTGGGTGTGACCTCACAGGCTGTAGACTCTGGACGTGGAGAAGCATGGGAAAGAGCTGCTCACCAGTTGGGAATATTGGTGCTGGCGAAGCCCTTGAGTTTATCTGCGTTGAAGACAGAGGTACCGTTGTCGGAGTTCGAGCCTGAAAAATCTCATTCGTCCACTTCCATAGCTACGGATCGGAATGACTATTCGAAATCCTTTAGATTGAGTAGTTCATGCGAAAAAAAGTCAGAGATTTTCAAACCTGTGATTGTGAATGAGCGTTCATGTAAGTCAGAGATTTTCAAACCAGTGATTGTGAAAGAGCGTTCATGTAAGTCAGAGATTTTCAAACCAGTGATTGTGAAAGAGCGTTCATGTAAGTCAGAGATTTTCAAACCAGTGATTGTGAATGAGCGTTCATGTAAGTCAGAGATTTTCAAACCAGTGATTGTAAAAGAGCGTCCTTGCAAGTCTTTGAATTTTTCTGACTACATTCCTGAGCAAAAGTCTGGGTTTTCTAATTCAGCTGAAAAAATTGGTGAGGAAAACCAACCAAGCAGCCATGCTGATCAATCTGAGAGTGGTCAAATTAAGAAGACTTCAGCTAAACGGAGTATCACTGTTAAGAAAGCTATTGTTGATAATTCACCGGAAGAAAGTAAGCTCAGAACCAGATCAAGGAAGAAACATGTCCCTGTCCAACTTGAAAGAAAGGATCTAGGAGAGAATAACGTCACAGGTGACTCGCACGTCTCGGCACTAGATTCCGAGAGGTCTTCCAACATGGATCCGTATGAGGAACGACGGCCAGTGTCTATAAAATCTGTAATGATCGTAGACAGCGTCGAAAAGGCTGAAATGGTTGTTGAGCAGCTGATGAGCGAATACAAGAATGTGGTGCATGCTTGTGATACTGAGGTATTCTTTTACTAATTCTGGATACTTATCTCATTTGAGTTCGTTTTTTTAATTGTTATCTCTGGCGAGGTGTTCGTAATTATTATTATAAAACCTATCTCCTTGCGTAATTGATGACTTCTGTGAACTGATAGAGCTTCACTCTACTTGTATTGTATACCGCTAGATATATTTGATTGTTCCTGCATGGGCTGTCTTCTTACTCTAATCCTGATATTGTTTTTTTCTTTCGAGAATTTGTTGGTCGAGAAAATGTTATTGTTATAGTGCCACTTGAGATTGTCAACTTAGTGCTTGTGGTGCTTCAGGTTGCAGGGATAGATGTGAAAAAAGAGAGTCCGGTTGGACATGGGCAAATCACATGTTTCAGTATCTATTGTGGACCTGGTGCGGATTTTGGATATGGCAAGAACCGCCTCTGGGTTGATGTGTTGGATGGTGGGGATGATGTTCTGAGAGTCTTTAAACGTTATTTTGAGGATCCCTCTATTCAAAAGGTAGGTCTTATTGCACCTTGTGCTTCGCATGCTTGGTGTTCATGGCAAAGAATTACTTACCACTGTAGATGCTGGTTCAGGAATAGGGATCGATAACAGTGAGCTTTTCACCATTATGATTGGTGGTGTGCGCAGGTTTGGCACAACTATAGTTTTGACAAACATATACTCAGTAGGCATGGAATACATCCTCAAGGTTTCTATGCAGATACTATGCATCTGGCTCGTCTAAATGATTCAGCGAGGAGAGGTTCCAAAGGAGGCTACGCACTGGAAGTATTGAGTGCCGATAGGAAAGTCATGGATTATTGCTCAAAGAATTTTACTGAAGAAGATGGTTCTGTGTTTGTGGGAAAGAAGTCAATGAAAGAGTTATTTGGAAAGGCCAAGTTGAAAAAAGATGGCACACCTGGTAAAATCAAAGTGGTACCTCCAGTTGATGAATTGCAAAGAGACGAGGAGCTGCGGGACGCTTGGATTCATTACTCTACACTTGATGCAGTATGCACGTGGCGCCTCTTTGTAAGTCTTCAGCATAAGCTGAGTAATACTCCATGGAGTGTAGCAGAATTGAGACATAAGGGATCTATGTACGACTTCTATGAGAAGTACTGGAGGCCGTTTGGAGAGGTTTTGGTGCAGATGGAGGCTTATGGAATGCTTGTGGATTATGATCACCTTGCCACTGTTGAAAAGCTTGCTAGGGCTCAACAAAAGATATCAGTAAGTCGCTTCCGGAAGTGGGCTGCAAGATACTGTCCAAATGCTGCACGAATGAACGTTGGAAGTGATGCTCAAATTCGCCAGTTTTTGTTTGGAGGCACTGCAAACAGGTAGCTGCTATGCATCCCTATATTTGTTTCCAGTGGCTGCTGCTCAACAGATGAGAGTAATGCATTGGGATATTTGAGTTGCACCTCGAGTATTTAGGTCAAAGAATCGATATAACGTCACAAATTAGCTTTGATATTATATTTCTTAGTGTGAGTTGATCGTGTTATAGATGTATCATAATCAATGTGCAGTTAGCTCGATTCCATTAAATTGGGTGGACTATCTGAAGTTTCCTTTGATTCCAGGAAGGATGCAGATCAAGCACTACCTATGGAGCGGGTTTTCAGTACGCCCAATACCGATGGATTTATAGAGGAGGGCAAAAAGATTGCGAAAAAGACAAAGCCTATGGTTATAACAGGGCTCGCAAATCACGGTATCAAAATACCTGTGGAGACCTATACGTCTTCTGGCTGGCCAGCGGTTGGTGGTGCAGCAATTAGGGTGAGAAAATGTCATCGATTACTTTCATAAGTACTCGTGTTCGTAAGTGTAGGGATAATTCAGTTTGAAACTCCGGATAAGTTTATGGTCGAATTGCTTGATATTTCTGATTATTGTTGGATTAACATGATATGATGGTTTCATTGTTTCACTCTTTGAAAGCTGTGATGTCTTTTTTATTGAAGGCACTTGCAGGCAAAGTTTCTATCGACTATTCTGACATAGACGATGATGCTGCGGAAGGAGTACTGGAGGTCGATACAGAACCTGAGGTTTCACTAACCTCAGCTGGAGTGGAGACTGACCACGAAGAAGATTTATCTGTATATGGCAAGGCTTATAAGGCCTTCCTTGGAGGTCAAGAGGGCAAGGAGGCATGTATGGCATTGGCTGCATTGTGTGAAGTTGCTTCAATCAATACATTATTGTCCAATTTCATAGAACCATTACAGGTACATGTTTTTATTAGTCGGCCTTTCTGAACGGGAATTTTTCTCCAATTTCCACATTTTGCACAACTCGCTCTTTATTTCGTCTTTTCGTTGGAAGCGTTTTTAGTGTCAAACTATTTAATAATGTTCTCTGAATCTAATTCTAAGCATTTTCTATGAATGAAAAGCACTAAACAAAAGCACCTCTGGAGTACACCCAAATAGAAAAGATAAACTAACTCTTGAACTTTGTAGGCAAGCTACGGTTCTTGTTTACTTCCAGCGGCTCTTTTTCCTACCAAAGTCCATTTTGACGTGAAAGTTGTTTTGTAGGGCAATGATATCAAGAGCGTCTCTGATGGGCGGGTGCATTGTTCCTTGAACATTAATACTGAAACTGGGCGATTGTCTGCGAGAAGGCCAAGCCTGCAGGTTAGTGTGTGCTGTCTTCAAACAGCTTTTCCATATGTGGTGTTTCATAGTATATCTAAAAAAATTAGTAAATTATATAAAATGATATGTCTGCTGAAGTATCCTTACTTTTCTTGTTGGGATTATACTACAACCTTGGTCTGCATTTCCGTGCTATTTCCACAGCTTTAAGAAGCAAGTATTGTCTCAATTTAACAGATTGGTTTCAGTTGGATTTTCATTTTTTGTATTGTATCGTATTTTGATGTCATTCATCTTCCGAATACTGATGATTCATTCCATGAATTCTGAAGGGACGCTTATGCATTGCCCTTGCTGCAGAACCAACCAGCTCTTGAGAAAGACCGTTATAAGATCCGTCAAGCTTTTGTTGCTGCTCCTGGAAAGGCTCTTGTGGTGGCTGATTATGGGCAGGTATGAGGCTGTGTTCGTGGAGCTTAGACAATAAATTCCTCGTTTTTTTAGCTCTTGCATTCCAGGTAATTGTGTGAAATACCAGTTCTGTGTTCGTATGCCATTGTTGATACTAACTAATTCTGAGATTATTTTTAACCATGCCTTTCGTTGCCTTAGTTGGAGTTGCGATTACTTGCTCATTTAGCCGATTGCAAGAGCATGAAAGCAGCATTCATAGCTGGTGGTGATTTCCATTCAAGGACGGCTATGAACATGTACCCTCATGTTCGTGAAGCAGTTGAAAAAGATAGAGTGTTGCTGGAATGGGAAGGTCTAGAGAAACCACCAGTTCCGTTGTTAAAAGTACGTCACTTTCTTTCTTATATTTATTTGGTTCGCTGATCAGTTTTACTAATCAAGAAGTACTGGACGGAACATGTTTTGATCGGACTTTAAAATGGTAAGCAGCCGTATTTATGAACAAAGATACTTGAAGAAAAAACGAAAAAGATGCCTCTGCACGGATCAGTGCGCTTGCAATTCTCTTTTTTTACATAGAGTCGACTTGTATTTATAGATTGTAGTGCAAATATTTAGATACTCTCATAAGATACTAAATATAGGCGCGGAGCTACCATTGTTCGTTATAAATGTTTTGTATGTGTACTGTAGGATATGTTTGGGTCAGAGAGGAGAAAAGCCAAGATGCTGAACTTCTCAATTGCGTACGGGAAAACAGCCATGGGACTTGCCAAGGATTGGAATGTGAAATTAGACGAGGCGAAAGCAACAGTGGACCTTTGGTATAGTGATAGGCCTGAAGTACTTGCTTGGCAAAAAGAGCGGAAACAGGAGGCTCACGAGACCTTACGTGTACATACATTGTTAGGGAGAGCACGTCATCTTCCTGACATAAATTCTTCCAATTCATTGCTTCGGTCTCATATGGAGCGTGCTGCTATCAATACACCCGTCCAGGTAGGCTAGCACTTCGATTGATTTCGTTTTAGATATTTATATTTGGAGTGTCTCGAATAGTGAATAACATGCGAGTTTTCAAGCGATCTATGAAAACATTATCCGACATTTCGAAGCATAGTTTTGGTAATCGCATGTCATTGCTCTGTTTCCTTGAGCAGGGAAGTGCGGCAGACGTCGCAATGTGTGCTATGCTTGAGATCAATCAGAATGCGAGGCTTCGGGAACTTGGATGGAAACTCCTTCTACAAGTAAGGATTTTGGCCCTTAATCCTTGTGAATTAGAAATAGGATGTCCATTATTCCGCAAGTCAGTATTTTTCAACAGTAAAATATGGTAATATATTGTGAATTTGCATTAAGCTAGACATATGGGATTGAGGACTGGAATAGCTAGTTTCTTCGAGGTGTACAAGTGGTTCTCGATTTTCTGTCGCAATATAGAAGATTTATAGAGCTAAAGAATGACGGGTTATTCGAACCTGCAGGTACATGACGAGGTTATACTCGAAGGACCGTTGGAGTCTGCTGAAGAAGCCAAAGAACTCGTGATAAAATCCATGATGTATCCCTTCAACGGCGAAAATATTCTGGATGTCGAGTTGGTAGTTGATGGCGATTACGCTGAAAATTGGTATGCAGCCAAATGAAGAAGGGCTTCATCGAAGCTGTCTGCTCATATTACGCCGTCTTCTGTTCCTCAACTGTATTATATGATTGCGTTCGAAACTCGATGTGCCACATACAAGGTGGTGAACAGGAAGGTGTATTGTAATCAGATGTCCGGCACTGGTGATGGAGACGTAAAAAAGTACCGATCGCTCAGATTTGCCATTGCTACCTTTCAGTGTCTCTTCACACTGATCTGTGGGCAGACCCGAACATCACCATCGAGGATTGGCGAAATATTGCTCGAGATCAATTCTGTGCATAACTCACAGGCATGAATGCCCAGATCCTTCCGGAGTATTCTTTATGCGTATCACAATTATTCTTTCAGAGAAGTTTGGGGTCATTTAAGCGTCAACCTTGAGTCTGGCTTGGTTTTCAAGTTCAATTCTTTTTAAGAGATAGCGTGGAATTGCTTCGAGTAGGGGGTTCCTCCTTTGTACACTAGAGTTCCTGTTAGGAGTGAAACATATGCCTAGAAAGAGCACTAATAGTGGATTAATGTAGTATTGAATTGCTGGAAAACTGATGCATTACTTATTTATTCCGAAAGTCCTAAGACCATTACTTTAGGAAGCAAGTGTTGACCTGTGACTTCTTCAGTTCCTGTATGGTGAAATAGGAATGGCTGTTAGGACTTGCTCTCTGAATTTTAAATAAAATTCAAGAATCAAATTTATCAACTGTGGTTACACTTCAAACTTCAGATGTGGGACAGCATGTATGGCTGTAGTTCTTGTTCTGTGTGTCCTAACTAATGATGTATTGATTTTAAAATCTCAATCCGTTCAGCCACCCTCAAACTTTTGTATCGAGCTTTGTGATGGAGCTGATTTCTTGATGATTAGTGCCATTGCGAAATGAACTCACCAAGTGCACACCAAAGGCTAAGGTGCCCCGTATTATTTTGCTGACAAACGAACGCATGTGCCTCACAAGTTTTACCGTCCCTAGAACTGAGGACAATATTGAAGATTACTGGTAGGTGCAGCAAGAAGTGCACTGCACCTCATGTTTTTGGATTCCGACTTCACGTGAACGTACCCCCATGAGCTATTCTTTGGCATTGGATTCCCTAATAAGTCATACATTTACCAGTTGAAAGCACTACGAACCAGTGATATGCAAGGATTCTAAGGCTCGTAAATTTTTAAGTTCACATTAGAATCTGCGCCACGATCGAGATAGAGAAAACAAAACAATTATTCTTCTCAAAGGAACTATTTATTATATCTTCCTCCCCCCTCCCTTGGAATTTCGTTGAGGAGGTGGATCTATAAGCCGAGAGAATATTTGAATGGGAATATTATCGAGTATATGCCAACCTGCACACAAATTATGTATTCAACAATTCTCTAGTTTACTACCCGAATTGTCAAACTTTCAATTTACTATGCAACCTGCGACGTCACCACAATGGGAAAGATTCGACACGTGGGTAACGGTTACAGAAAAGTTAATCAGATCGTACATTCATTACTGTCTGTATTACATTATTCTGACCCCTCTTACTACAGTGATGTGTGCATTTGTGAAGTTAGATAACAGACTGGTGTCGGTAAAGACGTCTAGATTTTTAATGACGATGGAGCAATTTATGAAAAGCGACTGCTAAGAGTTGAGATCTGCTACTTTACATATTCTGTCAGTGGAAACTCAGCTGCTCATGTGAGTGCGGTGTGATGTTACTTGTAGCATGGTTTTGAACGTATACTATCGTATGTCTTGTCACAAGTAACACTCTCATTGTGCCGTTTTGTGCACATGCATTTAGATCGCTATCACGAGGCATTCGAGAATGGCAGGAGATACTATCCCAAATATAACAGTCTGTTTTAAGGCACAGATACCACCGCGACTGCGCGAATAAATGATAAACCACCTTGGTCCGTTTGTTCTACACTACCACTGCCTAATATACCACTGCCTCGGGTGGATTCTAACGTTCCCTACAAGATGCTGAGTCGAGCTGGAACTAAACAAATACAGGTCTCGATCGAATCCATGAAATGCGAGTAATTGTTTTCTCGACAAGTTTGTCCGAATATGATACAAAGGATTACAAAGACTGTACCGCTGATCTCGCTTGTACGCCCGGAGGTTTCAATAGTGCCCGGCCATACGCCATCGGAAGAGTGGCAAACTTTTTCCACTTGTTGACGTATGCTCTCTTTGTGAAATTGTCGTAGTCATTCGCTTCAATGGCGTCCAGGATTTGTTGGTACAATAGAAGAGCCGACCATACCTGATCATTACAAAATAAACACATCAATGACTGTTCATAAAACCCACAGCAGGTGAGACGTCGCATGAAAATTGCCACTAAAGATTTATATCAATGTCCTAAGCAAATTGCAAGTTAAATATCGTAAGTCATTCTGCGTTTCCTTCTCCTTGGACAGGAGCTATTGCATTAGGGTGTGCAGCATGTCCGGAATTGAACATTAATTCTCATTGTGATTGCGTGTATCAGATTAAAGGGTCTGTGTAGAGAGAGTTTTTGTGGTGGTGATATTCAGAAAATCGGAGACATAGAGTGGTATGGATTGAGTACTCACTGGCCAGCGACTGTCCTTGTCGAGCTCCAGCACGCTCTGCTCTGCCTCGACGAAGAACATGCGAGCTCGCTTAATCTGATCCTTCATGAACGCCCTCCACTTGTCCGTCACCTTCCCAGCGAAGATGTCTTCGTCTGTCAAGCCAAATCGGGCCAGTTCGTCCTGTGGGAGGTACACTCTTCCCCTCCTCGCACTGTATTGCAGAGAATGCCACCAGTTAGATTCTCTGCTTGCAATCACCAATATTCATGTGACCAACTATAATTGATAGAGTAAGAGAAAGTAACTCACTCTTCTCCAACATCGCGAAGGATATTGGTGAGCTGGTTGGCAATTCCTAGTGCCAGAGCACCGTTGTATACACTTTGTGTAGTGGCCTTCGACTCAGGGTCGATGCCCATGATGGGTACGCTCATCAAGCCCACTGTTCCGGCAACATTGTAGCAATACAAGTAGAGCTCGTCGAAGTTGGCGTACCGGGACTTCACGAGATCCATCCTCATCCCATCGATCATGTCTCTAAATGGCTGGATAGTTCAGAAAGCCACGTATAAACTCAGAACATCTTCCTAAATAAACCTAAGTAAAGTGAGACCACTCCTACCACATGACTAACCTGCGCCTCTATAGTGGGCAGGGGTCATTCATGAAGATTGGGCTGCACTGAGAATGTATTTTATACCTGAATGTCGACTGGAAATTTGGAGACGGTGTCTGCGAGGGCAGCGTCAAGCATGTCATAAGGTTGGCCGCAGAAGATATCTTCCAGTCTATCCTCCCATCTGTCCAGCGCAGTGGGCGTTATGCGCGATGCATTGGGTCCATCGACCAGCTCATCAGTTCTTCTGCACCACACTGCAGCACATTCCACAAAGAGGCCATTGGAGAGGATGGCAAAATCTCTTATCCTAAACTCTGGTCGCCCAGTCAATGGACATTGAAGTACCCAGACTCTCTCTCTCTCGCTCTCTCTCTCTCTCTCACACACACACACACAATTTACACTCAATGTATCCAACCGATGTCGCATAATCAATCGCACTGGCGCAAGTTACAGTCTCAACCATAGTCTACTAATTCGATCCTGAAAGAGTGCCGAGTCCGCTCTGAACGTACCATATATCGCCCAGATAGCGCGTTGCCTCTCAGGGGTCATTAGCTTGGTTCCTGTAGATAAGGGGAAGATGCAAGTAGTAAGAACACAGTCCCGGACCACGCAAATCACAGTGCAACGGAATTAAAACCGAACAGGGCAGCGTGACTAACTGCGGGAGATGCCAGTGCCAAGGCAAAAGCGAACTCATACTAGACCACATCCAGTTCTATCAATGCCCGAGAAATATGCGGTTCCTGTCTGTTTTTGGCCATATCTTGCATGGCTGTGGTTGCGTGGAGCCAATGACTGAGAGGAAGAGGATTGAAAGGAACTTACCGAGATAGAACGTTTTGGCGTATTCAGCACAGACTTCGCCGCAGCGAGTGTACGCTTCTTCTAGCATCTCGAGGGTGCTGACTGGCGTGAGGTCAGGTCGAACGTCCACGAATTTGGGGTTTTGACTGCTTCGGCTCTGCTCTTTCTCCACAATAGCCACTTGCTTCGCAACTGCTTCGTGCACGCGCTGCTCCGCAGACTGGAAGTTCCTATCCAAAGGTTCTGTCAAGAGACTGGACTGCGCGCGGGCAGACGCTCTAGAACTAGCCTCCTGGCGCTGGCTCAGCACTGCTCGTGGCACCATCAAGACGCTAGACGATCCGCCTGGGAAGCTCGTGCGAAGGCCACCTTTCAGCGCCAGTAATGCACTTCGGTTGTTGCCATCACCGGAGCACGAGCTCGCCCCGACCAGCAACATCTCCCTCCAGCATGGACTCGCCGTGCTATTCACAGCGTGCAATCCTGCAGCCTGCATTGCAACAGCCTCCTTCTAACGTCCCCAAAAATCTCAATCACCCACCCACTCACTCACACCCACTTCCACAACTGCAGTGCAACTCTCAGTTCATCTCTACCATGGACACTACCCCAGGTTACAACCACTCCGAACTCCCACACTTCAACACATTCGCGTCTCCCTATCTCTCTCTCTCTCTCTCTGTCAGATATCAACAGCGCGACAAATTCTGGATCTACAAGACCCACAGAACCCACAGCCTTCTTAACCCGACCACTCAGACGCGTCGCTCAGATCACGTTACAACTGGGTCACCAGGAAAATTGAACAGAATAAACTACACAAAATCCGCAAACGACGTAGAGTAGAATAACCTGCGTTTTGACCGCGCGCAGTTTTAACAATACTAGGGCCTAGATGCGTGGCCACAAGGCTGTGGCGACTACGAGGCGGGCGAGTTTCTGTGGACGCTGCGAGGCGAACCACGTCGCGCGGTATGAGTGGCAACGTATCGCTCGCAGGCCAAATTCCTCTCAGCAACGGGATCGGGGGACGGGACCACGCTTGGCGGCACGGCGAGGGTGGCCCGTCATGTGCCTATACCCGTGGACAGGGTCGTGTTGCGACAAGCAGCACCGTCCGTCGGTCGGTTAGGCATCGAGTCACGGTGTGCACGATGTCATGGTCACCCGTCACCGTTTCTTTTATGTGTCATGGATGGGTGGGTTCATCCCCACCATTGGTTGCGTAGTGTGGGTGTGGGTGAGCGTGCATGGTTCGTTTTTCGTGATCACGGTGAATTTGAGTTCTGTGCCATTTTCGCACACTTGTGGGTATATGGATCTCGGTTTCCGTTGTGTGCCTCTACTCACTCACTCTCTTTCACTCAATCTCTCGCTTTTCTGACTAGCCTCGCGCTTTTTGTTGTTGTGGGATTGTCCCATTTGCGAAGTTGTGGACATGAGCCAGCCATACTTGATCTAGGGCTGTGCTTTTGCTGTCTTCTAATTCTGGAGGTATTTGTCATGGCGGGGAAGAGGGAGGGCACTGGTCATACACCCACCCCACAAAATAAATAACACAAAGTGTAGTTGGGTTGTAGTTGACAACACAAAACTTACCCAGATCATGTGTATTTATTTGCTTTTCTGGGTCGTTGGATGCTGGAATCTCGTGGTGGACACCATTCTGCCCTAATTTTAACACTGATTATCACTTTATTGTTGTATGTGGGTTCAATTCGTGTTACAGTGATTCCCATTCCTGTATTGCCAGTTATGAGTTTATGTCACTTTCTCATCCGTCGTCATCTTGACATTTTCGATGTTTTTTTTTTTTATAAATAAAAATAAAAATAAACTTCCTTGACTAGAATGTGAAGCGTTGGAGAGCAACCCTATGTTCTCCATATGTCATAAATAATTTAAGAGCACACACACAAAGTGTCTAAAAGCCCCTCTTTTCCTGTGATGAAAAGGCACTGGGCCTACTTACTAGTAGGGGCTTTGTTACTAGTTGTAGCAGTGTGGAATCTAATGTATTTGCCATTTTTAATTTATTTACAAATAGGGGAATGAAATTTTTAAGGGAGCAATAAGTCCACATGAAGAGGTATCCACAAGGGAGGGGAATGTGACCACGTCCAACGAAATGAAGGGATGATCTCGATAGATGAAAAGTAATTCATCCATCCACTCATTCCGTCGTTCATGACTCAGTTCGTTGGCAGACGCAGTTTCGATCTGAGCTGGATAGGTAAGAAGCTGACTGGGCTGGAGTTTACTGGAGAATGTGCAAAGTGCAATCCGAGTTGGACTAAGCCACGCAGACACCACCACTCTCGGAGGAGAGAGAGAAAGAAAATCTTCCCGAACCTTCTTCTTCGTCGTCGTCACTGGAGCGAGAGAGCATCTTCCTCGCTTTTTATTCGTAATCGGTTTTGGTTATTACAACTACCAAGATGGCCTATGTTTGTTGCGCATGGCCTGATTATTGCTGATTGCAAGAAAGTATGATAACAATAACATGAAGAGCGGGTCACCAATTCCAAATTCCCAGTTAAGAGGCAAAGGAGTCCTTTCAATATTGAGATACTTCCCTACAGGCGATTGCAAGCAAAGAAACATATTCTCACCTCATTTGATAAAAACTTGAGAGCTCAAAATGGAGATGGATTTTTTTAAAAGTATTTGTGATCATAAACATAGAAGTGTTTTGATTGTTGTAATTTGTTCTTCAAATTATGATTATTTTTTGGTTGAAAGATAGTGTTGCTATCATCATCCATACACATGATTTTGAATAGTAAATTTGAATAGTTGTACCATACTTTCAATTGTAAGAATGGAGATTAAGTGTACTCAGAGTCTCAAAGGAGTCTTGCCCTACCATTCATGTGGAATGATTTGTCGCATCATTGTAGAGAATTGCAGACATATCTTTCATGTAGTCAATAAAAATATTGATAAAAACAATGTATGTTTTTAAATCATCTAACCAATATTGTATTAGCAAGAGTTGGGATTACAATGGTATGGTTAATAAGTGGTTGGTGCTTAATTTTATTCATGTTGTTTTTTTCATTAATCAAGTGTTTATGGTGTAGATGAATCTACAATGTGAGGTGTGGTTTGCAAATCAGCAGAAGAAAAAGAACCAATTTTTTTGCAATTTCCAAAAAGCCAAAAAGAGGCATGATGAAATCTGCACTACCCACAGTCTAGGCCTTAGATGATGACTAAACAAGGAATGTTGGTGATAATTTATCATCAACAAGGGTACATTTGCTAGGATCACAAATTTGAAGAATATTTTAGATATTTCAGCATATTTGAAGGATATATATGGTATTTTTTCATTGTATCAGTGCCATTTTTTTAAATAACTATATATTTTATTGTTTGTGAACTGCTACATAATAAAAATGACTTACCATATTTGTGACAATACTACTTTTTCAATGATTGTAATTTGAATCTGATAAACTTCTTTGATTTGTTACAATTGTTATTCACTTCAAAAATCCTTTTTTTTCTTTTTTTCTTTATCCAAGATTTCTAAAGCTATATAAATTATTCATATTTTTAACATTTAATAATTTTCATTTTAATATAAAAAAAAAATACTTGTGAAAATTTTGCATAACTTTTATTTTATATCAAAATCATCTCATGTGTATGGTGATATAATTATGCCTATTAATATTTAATTGATAATACACAACTTAATTTTTTTAGTATTTTTTTTTATTTTCTTCCAAAAATACTAGTGTATCAAAAGAATTGGCCTTAAACATCAAATCATAATTTTCTATCAGAATTTATTTAAAATGTTTCATAAAAATCACAATTAAATATAACTTAAAAATAATAATATAAAAATAGTATATCACTATTTTTTATTTTATAATTTTATAATGATATTACAAATTGTTGATTTTTTAATTTGGAATTATATTTCAATACTTTTATGTCCTTCTCTTTTTTTTCCTTTTATTTAAGGATATGTTTGAAGAACTCACAGATTCCTTGTTCATACCACTTCAAAAAGATTAGGTTGAATGCAATTCAAATTTGGAAAAAGAGACAGAATTCAAATGCCTTCTGCATCACCACAAAAAAAAGTAGAATCTAACACAATGATATAAACATAAAATAAAAATGCAATTCCTTGACACATGTGCTACACAAAAATGTCGAATACAAAAACTAGATAATAAAATTGCAAAAAAAAATTATGAAAATGCTGAAGTGTTATTATTATTCTTATTATTGTGACTTTTGTCAAGTTTATTTTGCGTTTGCATCCCTTGTTATGATGTCATAGATCAATTCCTTTCTGGTTACTCCAACATCAAACAAAACCAACATTTTTACCATAAAGGACAGTCACAGTTCAACTAAAATAAAATAAAATAAAATAAGAATTTGTGAACAATACTGAATATTACCGACATTTGGCTTCGGATGGCATGAAATCACGAGGATCAATGAGTCAGTACACATTAAATAAATAAATAAATAAGTACCATAAAAGCATTGCAACATCGTAATTGGAGTTGCAGCCGAGTGCAGCAATAGAATATAGTGTTACTTTAGAAACATAAGAAACGTGTCTATTAAAATTCTTCAGTATTTGTTTATTTATTTATTTTTGATCTCTTAGATTCTAGACTGTACACTCGGTAACGACGTCAGTACGAGGCAAATTTAAACTTGCGAATCACACCAACAATTATTTAATAATGCGAGAGAAGTCCTCCGGCAGCACACCATCCAGATGCTGGAACTGGCTATCCAAGGCGTTAGCAAATCGCATCTGGACCGAGTAGGACCCAGCAATAGTGCATCAGAACTGGAGCTGAGGTGCAGTAACATCTGTAGCTGCGGCGGCATTTGTGACGCATGCGTGCAACGCTTTCGTGTGGAGGTGGACGAAGAAGAAGAAGAAGAAGTGGCATAGAGATACTAGTCCACGGCAGCCGAAAGAGCAGGAAAATATATAACAGCACACGTGGAATAATGAAACAATTCTTCCTCTTTCCACTCTTCATGCTTCCACGTTGAGAGTAGATGGACACTAGGCCTGTATTTGTTGGAGTAGATGAATTCTCATCTGATCTTAAGCTTTCCTCGATGCGAGCACTGCTCGACAATCATCCACAATCTGGTGAGCTGGGTGCCCCACAGGACCAGATTATCCAGTCTGGCGTTCAGGTTCTCAGAAACTGTTTTTCGTAAGTCAGTTTTGTTTATCTTTAGATATTACAAGCTGGCCCTCAGTTTGGTGGTAGCTGCTAGTTTTTTTTTTTTTTTTTTTTTTTTTTTATCTTGCCTCGAACTGCCCGTTTATAACGCCACCTCTTAACTGGATCAAATATCCAAATTTAGTTTGAAGAGAACTAGGACCTGATCTACAGTGTGCTTGTGTCTCCAACTTTACAAAAATTATATACATTTACGTGGACTCCAACATGAGCCAAAGCCTGTTTTATTCTTCATCATCAGCGCTACAACCACCGCTGGATTTTCGTCTTCGATACCCAGGTCGTTGTTTCCGTGCAAGGCAAGACGTTCTGGAAATTATAGCAGGATGGGTTTTGAAGTTGTGGGTACGTGCACCTCGTCAAGCTGGCAGTCATTTCTAACTGATCAAGCTTGACAGCATGTTAAGTAGTTAAGTTTGCTCTTTATAAAGTAACGCCCAAAGTTAACGATGTTCAGAAACAATCTGGGAATTATTCACGGTGGATCTTCATTCCTATCTTGCTAGAATCTTTCCAGCAATCCCGAAGCATAACGGAGCTGGAAAATATACTGGTCTAGATAACTTGATCACATATCACTCTTCATGCTTGTCTGTACCGGTTATATTCACCATATGAGGTGCTGTGCCGTATATTGCCAGCATCGCAAAGGAACAAAATATTCCTTCAATTTAGAAGCGATGCAATCACGGAACCGATGTTGAACCTGCAAAGTAGGGAATTCAGGTTGATCCATTCTTCCCGCATGGACACAATTTGGGCATCTTAACAAAAACAAATGAAAAGAGACAAATGTCCCTTCGTAGTTATTAATCTGCCATTGTCTGTACCTCCCATGTAAATGGCTTTGAATGCAACTGTCAAGCTACAACTATCCATCACAAGAACAAGATACCAACAATACTAGCAACAATATCATCTTTTAAAGGATGGGCACAAACTATATATATTTGGTTTCCTTCCCCATGTAGTGGAAAAAGCAGGGTGCTCCTAGTGGGTAACCTGATTGAATTCGTGAATCAACATGTTCATCAAAAAGATGTGCAATGTGAAACCCTAGTTTCAGAATGACGTAAATGAATAAGAACTAGTGAAGTTTGTAGAAATTTCCAACTCACGTTAGATTGAACCATTTTTTTGTGGTATTACTCAACACGATTTGCTGCAAGTGGTTAGACTGACCAGTCACGCTTGGTTGAGTCATTGGTAGAAGAGAATGACTTAGTGGCTGCATTCTCCGTGTGACCTACTTTTAGGCATCTTTCTGAGCCGTTGAAAACGGCCACAAAACATAGTGTAAACTGGTTTGAAGTCCTCAAGCTGGTTGAAAACGACCATACATTCGCACAAAAGGGGATTAGTTTGATGATACAGAACTGCTCATCGCGCTTGAGCAGGACCAAACAGCTTAAGATTACCAAGAGGAAGTTGTTTCAAGTGTGGACCCTCCACTAAACCTGGTAGAATCTTGTACAAACCACAAAGTAAGCTACAATTTTCCGCTCTCGTCTCGTTCTCAAGGCAGTACCATTCTCAAACCTTTCTTCACACGCTTGAACTAATCTCTGAGGAGGCACAATTCTAAGAGTGAAAGTGCGATAAGAGTAAGGCCCCTTGTGAAGGAAATAGCGAGTAAGAGGAGGTTGCAAAAATGTTCCCAGTAGCATCAAGAATATGTTCACGCATTAATCCAGAGACGTATCAATAGGGACTATGCTGGAACCGTGAACTGCAATGCAGCTGGCGTCAAGGAAGCTGTGACAGGTCAAGAGCTATTATAAACCAGGGCTTCCATGGCGGGAGGGGCTGACGTGGAACAATGAAAAGTTCAGCCGGGTTCGCAACATATTTGTCCGCCCATCATGGACAGGAGTCATGTCTTGTACTACTCCACCTCACCGGCTATGACAAATTGTTCGGTGGGATCTCAACCCAATTGAGCTTGGAGAGAACCAAACCTTCAATAACCGGAGAGATAAACATAAGACTTATTCGTCTGCAAGCACGATAAAAGGCTACAATACTTTAGCATTATTGCATCTGCAAATGTCAAGTGCAGAAGGCAGTAACAAAAAACCAGGTAACCTGGAAGGCATACCTGAAAGTTGTAAACCGCCAGAGTGATTCGCGACACACCCTCCTCATGCTTCTGTGACTACGAGAGAACTTCCCTGGATTCTCAGAAGAAAGGTGCGCTGTACGAAATTTCGTGCACTGAACACTGCTTCCAACCTGAGCAGTTTATGAGAAACTAAAATAAAGAGACAAATCGACAAAAACAAACAAAACGTTTAATGATTGTCATGCTGGCTCAGCCTTGATATAAATTACTGGCAAGGCATCATTTTCACTCGAAATTTTTTCAAGCATTCTTTCCAACTTCCTTGGTATGGACTGTACTATGCTGCCTTGATCGTATCCGTCCATGAGAAGCTTCCCGATTTTGTGTTTCCAGTCATTTCCAAGATCTTGTCCTTTGCTGTAGTCATGTACCACACGATCACAGAAGTTCAGAAGAGAACCCAAACCACTGCTGCATTTCCATCCGTATTCTTCCAAGATAGCTCCCTCATCGTCTGTAAGATCGACACCCACCTGTTTTTGAAACAACGATTTCTTAACACGGGAGCTCTTCATGTTAAATAAAAATAATTCAACTTATTATGAAGTGGGTATGGTTCTCAACACATGACTTGGCATAGCCATTAGTCAATGATGAAAATAAGCTCTAGAAAAGTCTAATGCGTGTATGCATACGCAGTGGGTTGCTGAGTCAAAATTGTAAAGCTAGAATAATTTAACCAAAAAGAAAAAAACTAAACAACTACGCTTCTTTGAACCAATGATCATGTATTCAATTAATTCAGGGCAAGATGAATGGACAAGTAATGAGTGCAAAATCATCATCAGTTGAAATCATGTGTTTACCACTAGCTGACGATTTTCTAAGAGGGCTGCACGACCGGTTGATGCGACACTCATGACCGCGATCAACCGCTGCGTTTGCCATTTTACAGGTAAGCTTTGAACCAACTCAAAAAAGTATGTTGCATATCCATACTCAGGTCGCTCCAACACAATCCTGCAAATAGCAATGAACACCAGATAACACAGGACTACAAAGTCAATGTACAAAAGACATCAGAGGATTCAAGAGGGAAAGAGAGGTAGAGAAATACATGCATGAGTGGCTATTCAGCATTATTGTTTAATTCAAAATCCAAAAACTGCATAATACAGTAAATCAGCATAATCATAACAACAGTATTTTAATCAAATAGTTAAAAATAAAAATAAAAAAGCACAGACACAACAACTCAACCGGTCGTAAAGGGTTTACAGAAAGAAGACCTGTTGTGTTTTTCAAAAACAAAAAGAAATGAACGTAGGCGTCTACACCAGCCCCACTCCACTGGCCAATTTCGCTTACGCAATGACCTAGTCTGCAATTACAACAGAAAAATGTCACAAATTGTAATCATCTGAAATCCACATTTCGAAAGTTTTTCTACAAAATACATCCAGCTTAGATCGAGAAATCGCTACTACACGTGAGCTCCAGACAGGTAAAACGTCACATACTAGATGTTTAATACTTCACATTGACTTGAACGGGCTGAACAAAAAAGAGAGCTGGTAGACATAAGTCAGGAAAATGCCTGCTCAATTAGTGATGATAGACAGGCAAGGCAGTAACGCGGCATGTTGCCTGACCCTTGTCCTTTAAGAGGTATGAGATCCTTTGCGAGTCCTGAAGTTGGTCCCCAAAGCTATGCATTCAGAAAATCAGCTAGGTTAGGCACTGCATAGAAACTTCAAGTCGGAGCATCTCACACTGCATCAAATACAGAAAGTTGATGTCATACCTTGCCCACCACCCTCTCAAGTTTTCCAAACTCACTTGCAGGGCTCTCTGTAGTCAATAAATTATCCACCGTCATATCCTCATAAATACCCATGTCTTCAAGCAGCCCTCTCTCTTCCAATTGCTGCAACCTCGGGCAATAATGTCAAATTGTAAGCTCTTATATTTATATCCCTATCAGGGTTTCTCTGTTGAATATAGCAACCTCAGTTCGAGAGTACGCCAATAGTAGAAACATCTCAAATTATCAAGAGCTATTTGTGCCTGATAAAAAATAGGACAAAGAACTATTGCACTGTTGACGACTAGAATTGGTTACAAAAAGTGTACTCTGAAAATTTCAGGAAACCTAGACTCACCCAACACAAGATCAGCAAAGACATCAGAAGGCTAACAGAGTTACTACTTTTATCTCATACAATGGAGTCTTCAGATTTTGTAATTCTGTAATTTTGTAATTTTGTAAATTAACTTAATTTTGTAATTTTGTACCTTAACCCCTTACAAAAAACTACATGAGTAAATTTTGCATGAGAATTGAATTCTTACTACCTACTTTTGTGACAAAAATTTGAGATATTAATAAAGGAAATTACCTCTAATAGGCCTGGTGCATCTTCCTGAAGCGCAAATTCAATCGCTCTGCATAGACAAAGTACCAAAAAAGTGACTGGACGTTAGTGTAATCAAATTCAGGTCCTTTACAAGTACCCAGTTAAACCATAGATAACAGACACTACTCTGCAAATTCACTCTAAGTTTGCCTTGGGTACTTTTAGAAAAGACCACAAATGACTGTTAGGTTACTCACATATGTGGGTCATGTGTGTGGAATAAATAGAACTTAGATAATAAGACATTTGGTCTACAAGGTTCGTTTTCTCCAAATATTCTTACTGCACCACTAAGTAAAGTAACTTGAGTGCGAGTACCCAAACATGTTGCACGAAAATTTAGCCCGGAAGAATGCACGTACACTTTATTTCTCTTCATATGAAAGTCGTTAACCAGTGAATTGCCTCCCAGAAATTGAGATTCTTTCTTTTGAATAAGTACTTTTCTTGTTGACGATTCTAAGTCCTCACGTTGCTTTGTTTTTTCCACCCGCTGCGAACGAAGTCTCGTGGCAAGTGGAACGTCATCCATGTCATCCTCACCTGAAACACATACCAAAGAGTAAGTCAGAAGCACATACAAATATTAGACTAAGTTATACAAGAGGCGTTACTATTCTAATCGGATTCTGGTTCCAAATGTTCATTCCATGCACGGTCTAAGATCATGTGCTTGAAGTTCTGTCAAGAAAAACTAGTCTAGGTGTACAACCAGTTACGATTGGCTCCTCTTATGCTTCCTCACCAGACCTCTTCGTTACAACCCACATCACAGTCTCTACTGAAGCTCAAATGATCGCCAGAAGTAAAACAAATCTTCAAACTATACATTATCAGAAACCGTGCAACTTCGAAAGTAAATAAATCAATGGACCAGCTACAGAACAAAGATGACAAGTGAAAAAAAGCTAGTAGGCTTGAAGGCATTTGACAAAGAACTGAAGATGATGAAGGAACTGGGAAAGTAAATCGTCATACATAGGAAAACATTGTCTGGCTCCGAAAATAGCAATCAACAAGTGTAAAACAAGGTTGTGGACAGCTTACTGGAATTTTCCTCCAGCTTGCTTGTATAGCTCTGTACAGTAACCCCCTCTGAAGTCCCAGGCCCGGCTCTCATCGAAGTCATGTTGCTGTTCATGACTACAGCCAATGCTTCGGTCGTTCTTGGCTCTTCGACCCTCAAGTTACTTGGAGTTGCACATGATTGCAAGTCACAATTTGTATTATTGAAACAAGTAGTATTCACATAAGAAGCTGGCCCGACTGATTCTGCTTTGACTACACAGAGTGGTATATTCCCGGTAGTTGTAACACATTCCGGCTCCTTCGAACGCCCCTTTTTTCCAGAAGACTCTGATTTTAGTGCCAGGAGAGCCGCCTGCAGAATACGCCACAGAATATTAGTAAAGTCTAGAGCAGCAACATTGTTTCATCTGCTTGAGAGTGGAGAAGCTCCCAGAAACTGAGAGAATGTCATAGTATACTCTGAGCACGTACGTGATCAATTGTGGCAGGTAATTTGGTACGTTGTGTCGTTTTGGTACAACTAAAACCTAGTTCTACATTGCAAATTGCTAACTCTTGAACAAAGAGCCAGAACTAAACGCAACGGTTCCGCACCTTCTCCTTTCCAATCTGCTTCTGTATTTGTTTAAGCTCTACCATCTGCAAAATCACACCGCCTCAAAAATAAATGCTCAACAGAAATTCAGATGTTGAATCTGCACCGAAAAGACCTAGCTTCGAAACAAATACCCGTACATCTATATCCATGAGCTTGCCATGCTTGAGATAGAAATAACAATAAATATTTAAGGGAAAAAGATAGAATCAAATGAGATAAAGATTAAAAAATTAATTACTAAGGTAGTGCGTAGATTACTGTGAGACACAAACCTGCAGAGCAATATCAGTGCTTATGCGCTCCAAGGCATCCTTCTCCGTTCTTATTTTCTGTGCCTGTTCAATTTTCAAATAACAAACTAAGAAAGCATTTGAACGTCCACGAATCGGCACCACAAGCCGCGTCCAGTTCAATAGATCTATAAAGTTAGACATTAAGATACGGTCCGCTTGCAAGAACATCTGCAATTAACCTCTGCAACCATATACGCTCCAACTTTCTACTTGCTTAGTAAAAGAACTGTTTAGAGGTGATTTATTGGGTGTGCATTAACCAAATGTTGACTCAGTATATTGTAAAGTGAATCTCATGGACTTCTCCAGTCGTCGATTTACAGAAGCAACACCGTACATGACTACCCCGAAAGACTCAATGTACATGGCTATAACAACACCAAGAGTTTCCACATCAAAACTTGTACCAGGATTTCCAATATGATGGAACGCTTGTAGTAGCATTTAAGAACAAGTGCATGACGTTTTGCAAATTCAATTTAAAAATCAAGAAATGGAGGCTTCGACTCAAAATTAATACCATCGCTGATCTCCCAACATCTCCTAAGCAATGCTTAGAACTAGAGACCGAGACCCAACGTTCACACTCAAATTTACCTCCTCCTCTAGTCTTTGGCGTTGTTCCGTTACTTCAACCTTCATAGCAGCAGCCAGTTTTTTCTCTTCCTCCAGCGCTTCTTTGTTAACATCACTTACCGAAAAGTTCTGCTCATTTGCTCTCAACGTCCTACAGGTTTAATAATTTCATGATTATCGAGTGCCAAGTAAATTTCGAAGAACCATGACATCCTTCAAGATACGGCTAATCGCCAGAACTACAATAAATCAAGGGTTTCGTTGAGAAGCACGCACTTTTCTCGCTGTTTCATTGCGAAGTCAAGATCTTTCCACAATTTGAGACAAAGTTTTGTAGCTTTATCGTACTTATCACAGGCAGAAGCTGATTTCTGAGCTGTGGCCCCAACAGTCCGAGGAACAAAAGGTCCTCCTATAACACTGGAACGAATTGAAGATGGCTGAGCCTTCTCAAATGATGACCTTAGATTAATGATGTCTGCGAAGAATAACCACTCAGAGGTTGGTAAACAAAACACGAAAACTCTAAAAAATTGCTTCGTACATGTGTACAACAGGACAAGGATCTCTACGTTTTACTGAGTCGAAAATGTAGTTTGCGCTCTTGCACTATGCTAATCAAAGATGGAACTTCGGGCAAAAATCACTGACAATATTCTACTTGATGCAGTAGTCGAGACGAACCTGCATGAGCTGCTTGGACATCCTCAACGCCTGTTTTCTTCCTCTTCCTTATATTCCCGTCATGCGACAACAATACCCTCGGACCTCCCTCAGATGCATCTAACTCATTGGTTTCAAATACTAAAATATTTGTTTGGGAGCTTTGAGACGGAACACGTGATTCAAACCTACTGCCCTGATTATTTCCTCTAGAAACTTCATCGAACGCACGAGATGTGTTACGTTCACCAGAAGGGGCTCTTCTCTGAGGAAGGAACGGCCTGACTGAGGTCACCTCCAAAGATTCTTCGAAGATCATTTCGTCAGGGAAATTACGCCTTTTGTCAAAGCCTGGAGGATACATTTGGCTGCTGTCAAAGCCTGGTGGATATATTGGGTCCTCTGGGAAATACTTAGGGGTCGGAGGAAATCCTGGCCCATTGATCGTACTTCTCATTCTTGGTCGACCATCGGATTTTGAAAAGCGATGTGCATTGACACGGGGATGCAAATAATATCCACTAGAGTCGGGTTCCTCAGTGTGCCAACTCTGCGATGGGGGAGGACCGCCCCGCATATTGGCGTGAAATTCTTGCTGACTTAAATCCATTGCATGTAGGAGACCTGTGTAACTAAGGAAAGAGCCTCATTAACCACCTATGCTGTTAGTTCCGAGTCTACAGCGATTACGAACCACCCCTGCCATCTTTAAATGCTCCAAAAACCTCGTAGATTTTTCTGCTCTTAGTCTGCTATCCGAATATGCCAATCTCTGCGCTGTTTCTCGGAATTTCTTGCTTTCAGCTGCACGCTGTATATCCACTCACCTCACTAATCACCTTGCAAAAATCACATACCAATCTGAACAATGTAGTTAAAATCAAAGCCAAGCGGCGACAGGCACGTAACCCACTCTTGAAACCACAGCTACACAACTATGGAAAAAAAAATTAGAGAGAAATCAATTCACCTAAATCGCAAATCCACACAGAAGGGAACAAGGAGTACAAACAAGAAGACTAAACAGTCATAAAAGTACACTCTCAACAGAAGCTGAAACCCTCCAACTCGTACACTGCAGCGAAATTCCACCACGTACAACTACGGCACGTCGATCTACACTCAATCCACACTCAATCTATTGCTACAACGCAGCTGCACAGCCCAAAACCAAACACCGAACCTCCGTCGAACGACTCCAAATCGAAATCCAGCGCACTAAAACCAAGAAGCCTGAGAATCACAGTGACGAATCAATCACTCACGCAGAGATAGAAGAACAACTAAGCGAATCGAGCGCGCGAGGTCTTACCATATCCATAAAAAGCACGAATTCTACCTCCTCACTAAGCTGCGTGATTCCTGAGCTCCAGCAGCACCTTCTCCATGGAACTGGCGAGCAACAGCAGCATCGGGAAACAAACAAACAGCGGAGGAATGCGAGAGGATTGAGGAATAACGTCACACTTCGAAGTGGGGAAGTGGAGCTCTGGCATTCCTGTGGGAACGAAACCCTAATCCATATCAACCCCGGCTTCGTGGCTTTTGAAATTTGAATCCACGAATCCTCAGACACAATTAATTAAAATCAAACCATAACAACTAAAACCCAAAATTCGCACAAACCAATACATGGATGAACGAATTCGAGTTTAGTTTCTCGTTGGCGTGGCTTGTAGATGAACGTCTCAGTTGGGAATTTTTGTGATGATTTTCGCGATATCACGTCTCATCCTCTGCAACGCTTTCATCCAGAAAAAAATAAATCGTAGAATTAAATAAAATTGGTTTGCTATTGGGGGATTATTATTTTCCATTGAGAAAAATGTAAGGTATTATTATTCGTTTTGGGTACCTTTGAGAGAAATGTGAGGTTAAAATAATTGTTTAACTTTCATAGTAAATCAGACCTAATAGTAAATCATACCTCATTACAGGGTATCACATAGTTTTTGCTACTACCATCACAACTTATTCTTATTAAAATTTTAATTGAATTTTTAAACAATATAAATTTATTTTTTTATATTATTTGAAAACAAGAAAAATGTGTTGAAAATATAAAATACATCTATTGATTGGAGAAAGGAAAAACTAACAAAATATGTCAAGTGGATAGTGAGTTATGACAGTAGTAGCTAAAAATGTTATGGCATTGACAATGCCCTTATTGAATTACATGTTCTAGAGATTGAGAATGTAAAACCCTTTGAAGAGTTCTATAATTTTGAAGTTCCCAAAATTTACATTTTAGTGGCACACATGTTATGGCGGTAACTTAATGTTTAACACAAAGTTCAAGTGTGAATTATTTTGGATGTACAGTATTATTGAAACATGTGTGAATTTTAATGATTTGCTCCAGCAGTAAATTAAAATGCTTTCAACAATAGAAAATAGCTTAATTCAGAAAACTTCAAATTGGTGACATTCCTGCCAGCAAACAAATCACCACTAAAATGGAGAGATGGCAAAGAAATAGCATTCACTGAATAAAGCTGGTAGAAGAAAGTTTTCAATCCGTAGTTATCGTATTTTGTACATAGAATTTATCACCATAGTTAAAATTTCTAAGCATGTTATTCTAAAACTTTAATTCAACAATCATAACCAAAAATATAAGAATAGATTAAGATTTATGATCGCTTTTTTACTGTTTCATTAGTTGAACTGTAGGTGTAATACGATTTTGGCACAAAGAAGAGAAAAGGAAACAATATTATTGACATACATATTTTCAAACTGTCTGAGATTAATTAATGATAAGCTGAGAAGTGAATCTCTTTTTTTGTTCACTGTTTGATAAAAATAGTGAATGTATGTTTAAGACATTACACGTCCACGACTAAACACTATTAAATGTTAAATTAACAATTATAGCTTCATGATTATCAACGAAAGATGGGTTCAGTTATACAATACCAAGTGTAAACAAAAATTACTGAACATCCAAATTCAAGTGTGAAGAAATGGCATGCTATTGTTGTGGTAGCTAGCCTAAAGTATTAAAAAACTTGCTTCAGATACTAAAACGATTCCCATTTGCTAGGCAATACGATTGTTAGGGCTACAGACCCACACTGAACGGAGGGAATGTTTTGTTCATGCTAGCCACTTCAATACCCTAAACCCTAAATTAGGATTCTGGTCTTTGAAAAACAGGTTTAGGGTTAGAAAAACAGCTAGAAAAGCAGTTGCATCATTTGCAAATTTGAAGGGACAGTGTAGAACCTAAATCAACGTGATAAGGTTCCGTTGATTAGCGTTTGTACGTCTGGATTTCGTTTCTGGACGAGAAACAAATGGGGAGAGGTTTCTCATGTGCATGTCACACCTTTCAATCACAACCAATGTGTACCTTGTCGACCCTCTGCACACAATTCTCTGTGTTTTGCAACACGTCGTGCCTGCAGGCGACACAGTATGACGTAACAGAGAGTGTCTTTCAGCTTTGGTTTCTTGTCGTCTGAAAACTGGTCTAGTCTATTTCCTTGAAATTTTGCAATATTCTTACACCACGATTCTGTGATACCTGCACTCTTTGATTCTAGGCTAAGCTGCAATAAGTTACCCCGTATCTGTAGTTTTCGATCTCGTTGCATGTTAATTGACATACGTGCTTTTCATACGGTGATCATAAGACCCCCCGCTCTCTGTTTGGTATGATCACTGTAACTAACCTCGAAGCAATAACAACAAGTGGAACTCTTTCATGTTACGGTCTTACTACCGATGTTTTTCTTTACACTTGTTCCGGAGGTGGATATTAAGTTTTCGAAGCAGTCCTTGGGAATGTTGCTCACTTTTGAAGGAAGCAGCTTACAGTCATGCTGCAGACTACGTAACCACCTAAATGCTCTCCTCGCAACAGATTTCAGGGACGCCGACAGCGGTACTGGTGGAACTTACATCAAGCAAAACACCTTCAGTCCTTACTTCACGAAGGCGGGGAAATCCAACAGAGACAATGCTCACACCACCGAAGTCTCGATTTATTTTGTTGATGTCCGTTGTCTAATTCTTCTCAGTCAGTTCGAGCCATCTTGGACCGCATGCTGCGATATGAACAGCGTGGAGAGCAACCTGTTATTCAACTTTGTTAATCAACTCTTCTTAAGAGAAAAGTGTAGAAAGTGACTACGTGTGTTGGTGAGCCTGTACGTGCTTCAACACTGCCATAGTTGTTCACTGTGCATTGAAGATGACACTGTGCTGCAACTAAAACCTGCTGAAATGTCCAGAGGGCAGCATACATTTTCACCTCAATGACATTCTTACAAACTCAGAAGCTTCGAGTGAGGTTATCAAGAATGCAAGAACCTACAACCGAACAGGGCTTTCCTCGCCAGAAAAAACCTGATTGAATACAGGAGTGTGTACGTTGCTCATCGAGAGGTGGTTTAGAAGACCTGTAATAATCGTGTGGAATTGCAGGAATAGGTGAAATGTTTCATCTTCTACAATCAGATTCTAATTTTCATCTGCTATTGGAAATTGAATCTGCGACTAGAAGATGTTTCCATTTGCCAGACTGAGGAAGTAGCTCCTATCCCGAGGGTATGCTGCTCAGCCATGAGCTACTTCAAAAATTTCGACTGTTACTCCACATACAGAGAAACTAGGAGGGAGTCTCTTTCAAATGACCATGGTTTTCTCTTTTAAAAAAAGATTCAGAAAATTTTGAGACGAACATGGGGTACATACAATTGACGTGCCAGGAGTCGCATCTAGGGATTTCCATGTGCTCGGCCGCCATAGTCATGTTCGAATCAGACAACTTGGCTAGTCCCATTGGTCGGAGGCAGTGATGGATGTTGGATCTGCGCAGTCTTCTTCAATCGTCTAGCAACGATGACATTCTGTACAATGTTGAGGTCCAGATTTAGAAGATCTGGCCATGAGTCCTTCTCAGTACCCGCACACACAGAGGGGATGTCGATGTTTGCTTTCACGTTGGAAGTGATGACTTGAGCACAATATTTGTAAGTCATGAAACAGTGTTATCTTCAAAAAATATGTCCGTTTGTCACGTTTGTGTTGTTACGACGATTCATCGACCTACAGTGGAAAACGCTGAATCAAAAAAGTGGTCTGTGTTGGTTGGACGCGCCCCGCACAGTCAAAAGGCTGTCTAGCGAAGTGTATTAAAGCTATCGGCCACTCGTGTTACATTTTCATCTGTTGATTGACGACCACGGAAATGGAGGAAACGATAGTTCTGTTTAGATGAGGGGAGGGGGAGGGGGGAGGGGATTCGTCCTAGCAGTTCCAGGACTTTCTGTTTTATTTATTTATTTATTTGTTATTTTTCCAATTTGTATCCTCATCAAGTTCCGCAAAGTTTGGAGGATTACCGGAAGCTAGTTGTCGACATGATTCGGCATGGGCGACAACAATGTGACCGAATCAGTTTGCCTTAACCTCAACAGTGTGTATTGTTGTCGCTTGATTGGAAGGAGACAGCATCCTACACTCACAGGAAAGCATTAAACCGTCACCTGGATACACAGAACCGTCTGTTCTCACGGATATAGCACTTCTTGGTGGTGTCATTCATCAAAAATAGAATCTTGGTAAAATCGGGACTCGTATGCTATCTCATGGCAGGTTTTCGCATGATCACAGGATTCAAATTTTGAGACCTAAGCACTGACTTTCCGTGGAAAACCACAGTCATCTCAATCATTCTTGTCCAGTAAGTCCTCAAACCAAGTGCTCTCCCATGGAATGAATCCAACTGTCCATTCAAGCAGACGCCGAGGGACAGTATCAGCAGTTCCGAATAGCCATCAGAAAAAATAAAAGCATCCAAATCACTTCGGTAACACGCGTTCTCTGCACTGACTCCGTTGATGTCGCAGGTTCAGAGTACGGGAGACACAAATTGACGGCGAATCCGCGCTTTCATTGAATATTACCTGCTGCGCAGGTTTGCTGACGAAGTCGACGGTGCAAAAACAACACCAAAATATGCATTATCTAAAAATAAAAAAACAAACGTATCAACGAAAGTGAACATCTGCCAGCTCTCCTAGCCGTTAGGTAAACTCTTCAGCAAGAGTCGGTCCGCAACAAGCTCCGACTGGATTGCCTGCCTTATCCTGTTGCAGTATATGACGCCGTGTAGCTCGCTCCGTCATTGCTGCGAACATATCCATCTCCATGCACGCTTTGCTTCCTATATTCCTTCCTTCGTGCCATCGCTCTCCCGATTCAGTTTCTTACAGCGATGCAACCTAACAGACCAGCTGCCATAGCCAAATTCGTGTGTTTGTGTACGCAAGCATGCAACCAACTGCGGCTTTATTCCAGCAACATCTCGTTACATTGAACGCAGCTTTTGCCGCATCAAAGCTGGATTCATTGATTGCAGGAGCATGGAAAAGCAAGCGCACATGCGCGAAACTCAAATGTTCCGTAAAATTAATGCTCCGATAAAAATTCAAAGGGCCATAGGGGTTTTGCATGTTGGAGTGAGGTAATTGACACGAGGGCTTTTCAGTTCGTCGAGCGGAATAACTTTCGTT